AGTGATGACGAATAAAAAGGTTAAGGACTTGTTTTGCAAATAGATACCCCATTTCATTAAGGGTAAAAGTGACTTTTGAACAAAATTCTTAAAAAACTACTATTCATATGTCATTTTGAAAAATCCCTCCAACTTTAATAGTGGACTGTTGCTTAGTACCTTTGTGAAGTAAAGGGTTCTCAAATAGATTCTCTGGCTCCGTGGGCAAATTGGTTGATTGATGCCAATTCAAGTAGATACAAATGGATGGACAAATGATCAATTATCACAAAATAAGTTGCATGTTTGGCTACACCCTAAAAATACTACTTACAAGTTTATTTACAAGTGAATAGGTTTTAAATAAATTATTTTGTATATTGAAAATAAGTTACTTAGTTTGAGACTTGAGAGTAACTATTATTATTATTATTTTTTTTTTTAATAACCGTGGATGTCCGGCTCAGCTTGCGCGCACCTCGACTATTTTCACGGGGCTCCGAAATTTACGGTCGGATACTCACCTCAGTAGCCTTGAGATGACTCGAACTGGTGACTATTGGGGATTGAGCAATCCCTCAAGGTTGTAACTATTATTTTACAATTATAATATGATTTATTATACAAAAATAACTTATTTGAGTTTTTTTTTTCCCGAAGAATGGTTGGCTTAGCATTAATGAAAAACGTTTTTGGTCCAACGATATTTGGATAGCAATTTTTTCTTATACTTTGAAGTGAAATATCTTATTTTTTATAAAAATTATTCTATATTAAAATAAGTAACTTTTTATATTTTTCGTTATGCGTATTGTTTCTCCTACTAATGAATTTAAAAAAATAATTTTAATCGTTATTTCAAGTTAATTAATGGTTTATATTTAGTAAAACTTTTATTAGATCATTTTATTGGAAATTAATAGGAGGTTGGAAATTGAAAGGAGCAATGGAACTGACTTATTTACTTACAACTTATAAGTAAACTTTTGGGAAAAAAATCATGGATTAGGTTTTAAGTCTCACTAATGCAAAAATCAGGTTTCAAATTTAAAGTTGTAAAAATAAGGTATTTAACTAATTAATTAAAAATATTTATTATTTAAATACAATAAATTCATAATTATACAATTAATAGCCACATGTACATAATTATAGGCCAGTTTATTTATTAGTCACATAATGTCCAACTAACTTGTCACAAATTATTTCGAGATCACAAATCAAAATTTCCATAGGTCACAATTTATCTGTCGGTCACATATTTTCAGATTTCGAGGTCACAGATTATTTAGAGATCACAAATCAAAAAATTATAGGTCACAATTTATCTATCGATCACACATTTTCGAATTTGCTGGTCACAAATTATCGAATTTTAAGGCCACAGTTTAATAGTTAATCACGATAAACCAAATAGTTGGCCACATACACCCAAACACCCGTCCCCCGATCTCAATCCACCACCAATACTTGGTCACAAATCTACGAAATAGTTGGTCATGGACACTCTTCGTTATGGCCTTGCTGTTGCCTCCACCGCCACAACCATCCACTAACAATAATACAAACAACAACAATCACAAATCAGCCCAAACCACCAACAACAGCCACTCACACATATCTGCCCGACACCCACAGATCCGCCACCTCTCCGATTCCCTCAACTCCGATCTGCCGCACACCCACAGCAGCCAGACGTACATATCTACCACCAACAACAGCCACTCACACAGATCTGCCCAACACACATAGATCTGCCGCCTCTCCGATTCCCTCAACTCCGATCCGCCACACACCCACAATAGCTACCACAAAGTCGCGACTCTGACCCACACACCCACAGCACAGCAGCGTTGCGACGCTGCTGTGAACGACAACATCGTTGAGGCACTGTTGCCAGTGTTACGAGTTCACAGCAGCGCCTCGATGCTGCTATGAAGGGAGGGAGAGGGATAGGGGAGGAGAAGCCGTGGTGGAGAGACTGATGATGGCGGTGGAGAGAAATGGTGAGAGAGTGGAGAGATGGGTAGACTGTGAGAGAGTTGAGATAATTGGATTAGTTTAGAGTTTGGATAGATTTAGAATTTGATATGTAAAATAAAATACCTGATTTTTAAGTAAATAAACTTTAGACCTGATTTTTAAAAATCAATATTTAAACACCTAGTTTTATGTAATTACCACTAAACTTTTTTACCTTAGCCAAATATGTAACCGTTGTTGGACCCTTAGAGGTGGGCGGACCGGACTACCGTACCAACCTCAATCCAGATCCACTTTTACCCAGGTTTTTTATTTTTATTTTTTGCTCGTCCATAAGCTCAAGCTCAAAAGGAAAAAGTAAAACCCAAAAGAATGTACTAAAAGATTCATAGAGAAAGCCTTCGAGTGCTGAACTACTATGATTCAAGTGAGAATTGGAGATAATAGCAACTCGAAGAGACTCTATTTACTTTTTTAAAAAATAAGAGAGTCAAATACACTCTTTATTGTTTTTTTATTATGATTACGTTTAATGAGTTACAGATTTCAGTACTCTACTTATATGCATAATGTGTGGCAATACGTTTCAATCCAATATCAAGCATTACAAGCATATGCGAAGTATATGCATAATTATGCGTTTGTCAATTTTTAATATTATTTTAAATATTTTAAACTAATAAATAAATAAAATAATACATTTTTATGAACTTTATAAATATTTTTCAAATTTTCACAAAATAATATATATATTACAATTATTTGAACTTTATACATTTTATTCAAATTTTCAACAAAAAACATATTTTTCAAAATTATAAATACTACAATTGCTTGGTAATCAATTCCCACAATTAGATTAGACATGAACTTTGGCTTAAATTTTTTTTAAGTATTTTCTAACTCTTTGTAGGATTCCAATTTAATTTCGACCTCTTCATCCAAGTCATCTTTTGTGTCATTCAATGCAATATCATCTTCATCGAGCTCTCTTATTACAATTTGAGAATTTCTATTACCTCTTTTAGATTGTAAGATATTTTGTAAACCTCCTCCTCATCATCACAACCATCAACAATTCAAAATTGTGCATTGTTGGCATCACTTTCTATTACAACTAAAGGAAGACCAAAGAAGAAGGAGGCTCAGACTTGATTTAGATAGTTTACAACTCTATGAAAAATTTGTTTTATTTTTTATTTTTCTGAATGTCAAAATCTTGCAGGTTGCTGTACACAATCCATGGCTTAGTTGATTTGGGCTAATTAGATTTTTCAAGTTATAAAAATGGACTGAGCTTTACTGGACTAATTTTGAGACAATTTTTACAACAAATACTTGCACATTTTGATGCTTAAGCATGCATATGCTGACAACGAAACGAGTTAACCGCATTATCACGCGCATATTCCATATGTGAGGCGTTTTGAAAATTCATCGAGAATATGCGGGTGTATGTGTAGCATATACGTGCAATTTGGAACACTGATTCTACCTATGACCTCTCTTGAGATTGTGTCTTTAGGATTAACTCCACTGTCAAAATAGTGGAGCACAAGGAAGCCTTCCGTACATCCAATGCATTGGAGATTATAAGCAGCTATAGTTACGCGATTTCCTCTTTCTTTCATTTCTTATTGAGTTTTTAACACCGCTTCCTTACAGTGGCCAGCAGAGCTAAACCTTCTTTTCTGATTTATAACGTAAAAGGTATGATGTAGTTGTAGATGCAACAGACAACACACCCAGTTCTGTGAGCAGCTATTGAATTGAACCTTCCAAGTGCATCCCGGTTGGGCGCTTTACCCATTCAGCTATATGATACATTTTTTGGATAAGGGAGCTATATGATACATGATTGTGGTGTTGAGTTGGGAAGGGTAAGTTGTTTACATCTCTTTTGACGGAAAAGTGATTTAACAAACACACACTTCTATGAAACTCGTGCACTCATGTCATGAAAATATCAGCAAACCTTCAACCTGGAAACACACATAAA